TCCTAGCACTCTGGGAGGCCGAGGTGGGTGATCGCTCAGGTCAGGAATTCAAAACCAGCCTGAGTGAGACTCCTCGTCTTACTAAAAATAAAAAGAAACTAGTTGACCAACTAAAAATATATATACAAAAAATTATCTGGGCATGGTGGTGCATGCCTGTAGTCCTAGCTACTCAGGAGGCTGAGGCAGCAGATTGCTTGAGCCCGGGAGTTTGAGGGTTGTGTGAAGCTAGGCTGACGCCCACACGGGCCTGATCCCAGCGCAACCCATGACTCGAGTAGCCATGGGCAAGCAAGATAAACCCAGTAGAAACAAGTGCTCAAAAAAAAACAGACATAGTTAAAACTGTCCATCTCACTATTCATCCGCAGGCGCAACAAGATAGGATACTCCCAAACCTTAAAACCCAAAACTTTTCTCCAGTCACTACGATTAGTAAAAGAAAAAACACAATGAGTCACTACCACCCATGTTATGGAAGTTATTTGGAAGATAAAGAATATTAGCACAAAGGGAACGCCTATTTATGAGAAGGGAATTGAGACTATATAAAAAAAAATGAAGATAGATGAGAGACCATACACCACCCCAACCAGCCTGCCAGCCGGATACGGACCCCTCCCTTGAACTCACAAATACGAATATAAGGGGGATCAGAAAATGATTGCACCAATCAACGATGTTCTACCCTCAGGGACTGCCACTTGTCTGAAAAACCATTACATATTCTCAAAAACAACCGTCAAAATAGCATGTGCGCTATCCTCAGAAAGTTGATCCAGCACCAAATACTCTCACTGCTAGTGACTTTCTGCTCTGATGCCGCATGACTCACCTTCATCCTCCGCACAACTATACTAAACCACTCCAGCACCGTTGTCTACGATCTACCTCCGCTGATACATAGATTCCTCCGACTTCTCCCCATACAAATATAAAAGATATAAGTCGCAAAATCAAAAAGGTTGGCGAAAAAAATGTTAATAAGACTTAGCACTTATATTTTTTTTTTTATTTTTTTTCATGAAGAACCAGAAAGAATTCTCATACCATCTGTCAAAATTCACTAAGATCCACCGAACAAAGAACCGCAATATAGTCAAAGTTGCCAGTATGAGCAGTAACAAGGACCAGGAACGCATAACAAGCACAAAAATCAAACTGCCTAGGACCGATCTAAAGGAATCCTCCGATTGCTCCCCCCAAATAGCAGCTGAACAATACAGGCAAGTGCCACCTGCGCCGAAAGTGGAATAGCACGAGCTAAAGTTATCGGAGCATATGTGTCTTACACAGTGTCGGTCGCAAAAAGATCCAAGATGAGCAGTCACTATCTAAGTCACGCATATGTATTATGACAATGTCCAAGCTAATTTCTTTGTAATATCTTCTTAGTACGAACGCAGAAGTGATACAAAGATCCAATTCAGTGCTTACTCACGGCTGCACGCTACTCACTGACCATACTCACAGAAGACTCGAACAGAAGTCACCCTTCCATCTCGGACTAACCACCCGTCCCTAGAGTGCCTCCCGATAGGAATCATAGCAGCGCCCAGAAGAAATTTATAAGGCATGAGCCATACTCGCTGGTTCGACTGCCCAGAACTTTTCTATGGACAATTGGGACAAGGTTTCACTGTGCAGCAAGATGTTAGAAAACAAAGATATATATAACTAACGGCTGCAAGTACAGACAAATAATTACTAGAAGGAACAACTAACCTTTTCTCAGCAGTAGGATGGAAGAGTGTCAGCAGCGATTGCCCAGTCACACGTCACGTTGGCTGCAGCCTCACTCACAGGGCACCAATACGGCTCAATAGGGTCAATGCCTAACCTCATCTCCTCGCTCCCGTAGTGAAGTTAGCGGTTATTCCATGTCTACTTGGCTGTGCCTACTCTCTCCTTGGTGGTCGATGATTTGTCGGTTCTTAGCTATTATGTTTGCTACTGTGGTTGGCCATAGAATTCGTTTCTATATTCTAGTTGGCTTATTTTAGTAGAAAACTGCAGGTCTTCGCACTTCTCTAGACTCCACGTCGCTACAGCATATCAAAACCTCGTTGGGATCCACTTCCATTGCTAGCCTGATTCCCCCGCCTCGGGCCCTCCTGCAGCGTCAGCCTCGCAAGGTGCGCGGAAGTGACAGGTTTGGAGCCGACTACTTAGCGCCGGCCTGCATTATGATGCCTGCACCATTAAAAATTTATTTAATGAGATTGGATTTCTGACAGTCTAATGTCTTGTCCTCCTGCCTCGGGCGCTGAGTCTTATATAACGTTGTGAGCCTGAGGCATAATCTCTTCCCGTCGTTCGGACTCCCAGAGTGCTAAATACAGGTGTGAGCCGTTGCCGGCCAAATATTGTACATTTTTCCTTTTTACAAGGAGTACGTAGGCCATGTGAATAGTTATGTTAAAAAACAAAACAAGATTTCAGAAATTATAGTATAGTATAGCACAGTATCTCCTGAATCACAAAGTAACTTTTATGGATGGGAGAACATATGAACAAACGGGTATGTTCGGGATGTTAGCTGTGTGAGCCACAGCGCCCGGCCCTTGAACTTTTAATAATACTCCATATTCACATGGGTTGCATGCATTGTATAGGTTTTAGTCCAGCTGGCAAATGACAGCATTACCAGATATTACCCGGGATTTGTTAAGTTTCCAGGGATCATAGATTTGGTCTTCAGACCAAAAGTATTCTAGGAGGCCAGGTGAGGTGGCTCACACCTAAAATTCTAGCACTCTGGGAATCCAAGGCGGGAGGATTGCTTGAGTTCAGGAGCAAGAATGAGACTCTGTCTCTACTAAAAATAGTAAAATTAGCCATCTCTACTAAAAATAGAAAAAAAAAATCTAGCCAGGCGTGGTGGTGTGCATCTGTTTTCCCAGCTACTCAGGAGACTGAGGCAGGAGGATCACTGAGCTCTGGAGTTGGAGGTTGCTGTGAGCTAGGCTGACACTATGGCCGACAGAGTGAGACTCTTATTTAAAAAAAAAAAAAAAAGTACACTAGGGCATGGGGTATGCCAGGGGAAGTTGAGGTATCCTTAAATAAATTGCAACGTGATTTGCCTAGTGATGAGGGGAAGATAATTTCTTATTTGGCACTTCCTTTCAAAATATGTGATACTCAATGGGAAAAATGAACCCAGGTCAAGAGTATATCTTCCCTTTGGCACAGATTCGTATTAAGTATGTAAATATCTTACTGATGCTACTCTGTGGACTGTGGTTCTTTTTAGTTTTCCCATCATTCCTCTTAGGATGACATTTATCAGGTAGTGTAGTTTAACAGATGTTTGAATGCCTCCTGTGTGCTAAGCATGGTAGTGGGCACTGGGGAAACAGTAAACTAAACAAGATTTTTTCCCCTAGTAATCTGAGGCCTAATGGGAAACAGTGACATAAAACAAATGATTATAAGAGAAGTGATATTTAGAAAGGTGTATAGGGGTGTTTTAGGAACATATAACAAAAATTCACTGTTGTCTTGGTTGGGCTAGGTGGGGGAGGTATGTGATGGGCAGGACTCCCTGAGGAAGTAGTAATCTTTTAAGCTAAATACTCCTTAGGCATTTTGGTAAAATGAAGACTCTTGATCCAGTCTGCTTAGGTAATTCAGCCTTTTTGTGCCTATTTCCTCTTTGAAAAATGGGGCTAATAATATTACCAACCTCCCAGTCTTATGAGGTCAAAGTGAGTTAGCACATAAGCACTCATAACTATGAGTACCTGGCACATAGTAAGTGCTTAATATATTAGTCGTTATTTTTATTTTTATTATTATTTTTTTGAGACAGAGTCTCGCTTTGTTGCCTAGGCTAGAGTGAGTGCCGTGGCATCAGCCTAGCTCACAGCAACCTCAAACTCCTGGACTCAAGCAATCCTTCTGCCTCAGCCTCCCAAGTAGCTGGGACTACAGGCATGCACCACCATGCCCGGCTAATTTTTTCTACATATATTAGTTGGCCAATTAATTTCTTTCTATTTATAGTAGAGACGGGATCTCGCCCTTGCTCAGGCTGGTTTCGAACTCGTGACCTCGAGCAATCCACCTGCCTCGGCCTCCCAGAGAGCTAGGATGACAGGCGTGAGCCACCACGCCCGGCCTAGTCGTTATTTTTATCTACTTTTTTATTTTATGCTAGGTATTCACTGGCAGGTTAGGTTTTTTTTGTTTGTTTGTTTTTGTTTTTTTGAGATAGTCTCACTTGTTGCTCATTGGTAGAGTGCTGTGGCATCAGCCTAGCTCACAGCACCTCAAACTCCTGGGCTCAAGCGATCCTCCTGCCTCAGCCTTCCGAGTAGCTGGGACTATAGGCACGCACCACCATGCCTGGCTAATTTTTTGCATATATATTTTTAGTTGGTCAATTAATTTCTTTCTATTTATAGTAGAGATGGGTCTCGCTCTTGCTCAGGCTTGTCCAGGTTAGTATTTTAAATACAAATTTGACATGTTCTTTCCACGATTACAGGCGTGAGCCACCGCGCCCGGCTAATTTTTTCTATTTTTAGTTTTTGGCTAATTTCTTTCTATTTATAGTAGAGATGGGTCTCGCTCTTGCTCAGGCTTGTCCAGGTTAGTATTTTAAATACAAATTTGACATGTTCTTTCCACTATATCATAACCTAACTTGATCAGATTTTAAGAATAGTGGAAATAGAATTCTGAAAAATAAATTTGGCATTTTTTGCAAGTTATTATAAATTCTGTTAGCATCTACTCTAAGAAGCTGTCAGAATTGTAATGTTTACATATCTTTGGAGATTTAAAAAAGCCAAATTTTATTTCAGGGAATTGAGACCCTTATAATTCTATCTGCTTTAGCAGTATCATTTAGTCCCTATATAATCCCCATCACTAACTGTGTAGTCAGAACTTCACACTTCACATTTTTACTGACTAATATAGTTAATGAAAATGTTATTGATAACCTAATTAACTAAGAGTTTTTGAAGAACTTTGTATATTTCTTTTTACAGACCATTTAATTTGACAGAACGGAAAGCTAATGCCCATTCCATAGTAGAATGTGATCATGTACGAAAAGAAGTTAGTGTACGAACTGGAGGACTGGCTGACAAGAGCTCACGGAAAACATACACTTTTGATATGGTAACATATGCTGCAACTTCTTAATTATACACTAATGTAAAGTAATTATAATATACATATTTCATCTGGAAAATGGTGTACACTTACAAATTTCAATTGTCTCTTCAATTTGTCAGATGATTTCTAGTAGTCTGAATGAGTTAATATTCTTTTTTTTTGTTTTGAGACAGAGTCTCACTCTGTTGCCCTGGCTAGAGTGCTGTGGCGTCAGCCTAGCTCACAGCAACCTCAAATTCCTGGGCTCAAGCAATCCTTCTGCCTCAGCCTCCTGAGTAGTTGGGACTATAGGCACGCACCACCATGCCTGGCTAATTCTTTCTATATGTTTTTAGTTGTCCAGCTAACTTCTTTCTATCTTTTTAGTAGAGACAGGGTTTCACTCTTGCTCAGGCTGCTCTTGAACTCCTGAGCTCAAACTATCCATCCGCCTCAGCCTCCCAGAGTGTTAGGATTATGTATTGGTCCTCTCACTCCCAGTGAGATGGTGTGAGCCACTGCACCCAGGCTGAGTGAGTTAATATTCTAAAAACAAAATTGGCTAGGTGCAGTGGCTCACTTAAAAAAACAGAAAAAATTAGCCAGGTGTGGTGCCACATGCCTGTAGTCCCAGCTACTCAGGAGGCTGAGGCAGTAGGATTGCTTGATCCCGGGAGTTTGAGGTTGCTGTGAGCTAGGCTGATGCCATGGCACTCTAGCCTGGACAACAGAGTGAGACTCTGTCTCAAAAAAAAGAACAAACAAAAAAAACCCACAATCATTAAAATGAGTAGTTTTGAGTTTTCTTTCTGTAAGAATAAAACATCTTTTTTGATAGGTTTTTGGAGCATCTACTAAACAAATTGATGTTTACCGAAGTGTTGTCTGTCCAATTCTGGATGAAGTTATTATGGGCTATAATTGCACTATCTTTGCGTAAGTGAAACACTATTTTTCAAGTTGATGAAAAAGTTTAGATGCATGTATTTATTTTTAATTTAATACTTTTGTTAATCTTGACAGATATGGCCAAACTGGCACTGGAAAAACCTTTACAATGGAAGGTGAAAGGTCACCTAATGAAGAGTATACATGGGAAGAGGTATGTATTGTTTATAACATACTTGGTTGAAATTTATCTGAATAAAATTTGGTTGAGGGCCATTGTCTTGAAATAGAGAAGATCAGAGTACCCGTGTCAAACATGAGTTTAGGATAAACTACTGCTATAGTAAAATTAAAATGAGTGGTATGACACCTGTTTAAGAAACACCATCTCACTGTGAGTGAGAGGACCAATACGTATGCCACAGTTAAGGGATAAAATAGAGGTCTGTTTGGGATGGGACAGTTGGAGCAGAATATTGTGAAAAAGTTGGAGTATGAGTAGGGCTTGACGGGGAGGTCTTTGTAGTGATGGAATGAGTCTCAAAAAGTTAGCATAATAGCAAGGGGCAATACAGAACTTTATTAATGATGACTGTGGGTGTTCAAGAAGTTAAGATTACTATATTGTTTAATATTATAGAAAGCATATATTAATAGTACATTGTATAATAATTATCATCAAATGAGTTTAAATTTAAATGAATTTAATAACTAAGTTACTTTTCCAAATTATTGATATTTAGGTAGCTCCTTTTTTCTAATGGTTACATAGTTGAGTCATTAACTTACTTTACATATGGCTAATAAAACTATGGAATTATACATAGGAGATATGGAATAGGCTTAAAGCATAATTTGGTTGGGCAGGACCATTGAACTTGCCTATTTAAGTAGCTTGCTTCAGTTGGTTTCTATGGAATGCTCAGGTGTGAAGATGACTAGCAGGTATGTCAGTTTTGTGGAAGATATGAAGAATACTGTTGAACAGACTGTTGTAAGTGACTTCTCTAACATTAGGTTAGTGGTTTTTTCATTAACTTGTTTGGGCATACTTAAATATAAAGAAGGCCCTTGTGTTTTAACTGCTATAGTAAATGGCACTCTTCCTTTATATTAAACCTCATTAATATTATAATTTCAGGATCCCTTGGCTGGTATAATTCCACGTACTCTTCATCAAATTTTTGAGAAACTTACTGATAATGGTACTGAATTTTCAGTCAAAGTGTCTCTGTTGGAAATCTATAATGAAGAACTTTTTGATCTTCTCAATCCATCTTCTGATGTTTCTGAGAGGTTGCAGATGTTTGATGATCCCCGAAACAAGGTAACTTAGTCTTTGAGAATGAAATGTCTCCAAATTTTAATGTGTGAGATTTTGAGAAGTCACTACATATATATTTTTTTGCCAGTCTAATGGATGTTCTTTTTTATATTTTGCCCAGAGAGGAGTGATAATCAAAGGTTTAGAAGAAATTACAGTACACAACAAAGATGAAGTCTATCAAATTTTGGAAAAGGGGGCAGCAAAAAGGACAACTGCAGCCACTTTGATGAATGCATACTCTAGGTAAGAAAGCCATAGCTCCTCCCTGGTCCCATTTTGTAAGAAGAATTAGGGACTTGGGGGAAGTCAAATTGGGGTGGGTCAGTATGTGCATTGTCATGTACCTAGATTTTGTGTTATAAGGCGGAAACCTTGGTAATTGGCTTGAGATTTATAGAGAGGGCACCAAAATTGGAAGAATTTTAAAAGGAGTAGACAAGTCGAACTGGAGCAGAAATATTAAACTTTTTAAAAGCTGAATCCTTTCTTTCAAATGAAATTGTGTGTTGAAGCCCAGATTAAAATGTAGCTGCTGTAGTTGATTTTGGTATGGGACACTCAGAGGCTTACCTCCTCAGCCTTATAAAGGTGGCCCTTGAGAGGTACTTTTGAGGATCCCCTACTGATATTACAGCATAGTTCGAAAACCTTGGGTTTGAATAAGGATTAGAAGAAAGTCAAATCTTCATTTTATTTTATTTATTTATTTAAATTCTAATGGCAAATATTTGCCATGCCAAATCTTCATTTTAAAATGGCTTTATTTTGATGTAGGGAGACAGATGGTCACTAACACTGGTTTTCCTGGGGTAAAAGGGACACATAAAATTTCTTTTCTCTAAATATCTTTCCTTGGAACATAAAATTCTTACTCCATAAATTTATATTTCTTAGGAACTCCTTTTTTCTTGTATGTAGACTTGAATCAAGATCTCTCTATAGGACAAGTCCCACATTCTACAAATGAAGATCATTTGTAGTTAAACAGAGGTGATTTTTTTTTCCTGATGGTTTTTGAAGGAAGCATCAGAATATGATGGAAAGAGCAATGGATTGAGAGTTAGATATTCGTGTTCAGTCTTAGTTTTGCAGTTAAACTAAATATGTCACTTTGGGTAACTGAGTGAATTTATCTGAATATCAGGGTTTTTTTAATTTTTGTTTTGAAATAGTCTCGCTTTGTTGCCCGGGCTAGAGTGAGTGCCGTGACATCAGCCTAGCTCACGGCAACCTCAAACTCCTGGGCTCAAGCAATCCTCCTGCCTCAGCCTTCTGAATAGCTGGAACTACAGGCATGTGGCACCACACCTGGCTAATTTTTTGTTTCTATTTTTAGTTGCCCGGCTAATTTTTTCTGTTTTTGTTTTTTTTTTTTTTTTCCAGTAGAGACGGGGTCTTGCTCTTCCTCTTGCTCAGGCTGGTCTCAAACTCCTGACCTCAAGCAATCCTCTTGCCTTAGCCTCCCAGAGTGCTAGGATTATAGGCATGAGCCACCGCACCTGGCCCTTGAATATCAGTTTCCTTAAGTTATACAGTAATTGTTAGGACTAGATGTCTTATTTCTTTGCTTTTTAGTTGAAAATTTCTACAAAATGCCAGAACAATTATAGTCACAACTAAAAAAAGTATGCTTTCAAAGAAAGAAAAATAACATAATAACATAACATGAAAGGGATTAAATCAGTGATTTTAAAATTTTAATTAAATTTTCCCTGTAATGGCTTTCCAATAAAATGGAAATTTTATTCCATGGTTGCTTTGTAACTTACTTGATAATACTATATAGAATTTGGAGAAATGAACTGCAGACTAAGTAACATTTCTTTTCTCTAAATACCTTTCACTGAAATATAAAATTTCTATTCTATAAATTTGTATAATTTAGAAATTCCTTTTTTCACATATTTAGACTTGAATAATGATCCCTTTTAATGAATGTATATGATAAAGAGAAGAAGTTAATTCAGTTTTCCCACGTCAAAGTGGTCTTCTATGCTTACTTGCATTCATTCTTATTTCTTCTTGTGAATAGGAAGATTGATTGTAAGGCTTCTCCCCTTGACACAGTAGGCAACTGTCCCAACCCACTCCACATCCAGCGTTTCAGAGGTGCCTGAGGATTCTAGTTTCTAAGTCTTTTGAGGTGTTTTTAAGTAGCTTTTTATTGGAGACTCCCCTGCAGACATCAGCTAGTAGAAAGCAAAAACCTAATCATTGCTCTGTCCACCTATCTGCTAAAGTCTTATTGATATCTGCTGTCTGATATCTTTCTAAACCCTTGTGGATTTACATCTTCCTTTATTGTTTTCAGTATTTTAGAGGAAGCAAATAATGTTTTACATTATAATGATTGAGCAATTTGATCTTGTTTTCTAGTCGTTCCCACTCAGTTTTCTCTGTTACAATACATATGAAAGAAACTACAAATGATGGAGAAGAGCTTGTTAAAATTGGAAAGTTGAACTTGGTAAGCATCTACCTTACTTAATACTACTATTTCATTCTTTTTTTTTTTTTTTTTTTTTTTGCCAGAACTAGAGTGTGTGGCATTTCAGGCCTAGCCTCAACAGCCAAACCTCAAAACTCCTGGGCTTAAGCATCTTTCTGCTTCAGCCTCCAAAGTAGCTTGGGGATTTACAGCCATGCCTGGCTAAATTTTTTTCTATATGTTTTATTGTTATTTAAATAATTTCCCTCTATTTTTAGTAGAGAATGGGGTCTGTTCCCCCTTCAGATTGGTTTCAACTCCTGAGCTCAAAACCAATCTTCCCCTTCTCAGCCTCCCCGAGTGCTAGGATTACAGGCGTGAGCCCATGCGCCTGCCCTTTTGCTGTTTCATTCTTGACCACCTCATAGAGCAGCTTGAAAATTTTGTACTTCTAGGACAGTAAATTTTTGTAAGTTTACTGTTAATTTAGTTTGTAGTGGGGAATTAAAAATTTCTTAAAATTATAGAAAAATTATTTTGCTAAGTCTATTTTATATGCCTATTATATATTATGAGAATAAAAGTCCTTTTAAAAATCCAAAAGATAGATTAATTTTTTTATTTTTTAAAAATTAAAGGTTTGACTTTCCGCCAAGAAGTGAAAAAACATTTGGGCCGTTTCTGGCAAGCTGGTTGGACAAACAGAAAGCTTCGGGAAAGCTGGAAAATATTCAATCAAATCCTGTTGATCTTTGGGAAGGGTTATTACCTGCTTTTGTAGAAAGAAACAACCGTCCATGTTCCTTATTCGAGAATCTAAACTTAAAACTAGAAATCCTTCCAGCGGATTTCTCTTTGGGGGCGTACAAGACATCGTATAATTTGCAAAACAATTTCTCCTGCATCCTCTCAATCTTGAGTAAGCCCTTTTGAAAAGAAAGCTGCCAATGTAGTAGCGCTATAAATTTCTTATTTATGGTATTCACATATTTTAAAAGTTAATTTACTGTTTCATTACTTCTTATGCTATAGTGAAAAAAGGAATCTGGGACATTGCATTTATGGATGTATAACCCCAAGAGCGAACATCTACTGAAAAAAGTTATTTCTTTTTCCTTCTCTGGAAAAACAGAAGTTTTTTTTAATTCTTAAAAAAAAATCAGTTACTTAAAGACTTTTTTCCCAATTTACAGTTTCTTTTTTTTCAGGAAAAATTTGCTGTGGTCATTAGCAATGAATGATAATATAATTTAGAATTCTATTCAGCGACCTTAAGAAGGTGAGTTAAGTGAATGCTTAGTTATGTATAAGAGGCTGGCTTAGAAAGATTGTTGAGAACCAAAGTGTTTGGGATGTGTTGGAACAAAGGGGGAAAAAAGCAAGGAAGCAAACAGAGATGGTAAAAATCTATTTTTTTATTTGTATCAAAATTCCTCTTTAAATGGAGTTTAGCAAAAGTTTTTTTTTTTTTTGCAGGGGAACGAGTCATCGCTTTGGTTTGGCCCACAGGGGTAGAGTGAGGTTGCCCGTAGCATTCAAGCCCCTAAGCTTTCCCCACAGCAACCTTCCAAAACTTCCTTGGGCTTCAAGCCAAAATTCCTCCTGCCTCAGCCTCCCAGTAGCTGGACTACAGGCATTGCGCCCCACCATTGGGCCCGGCTAATTTTTTCTAATATATATTAGTTTGGGCCAATTAATTTCTTTCTATATTTATAGTAGAGACAGGGTCTCACTCTTGCTCAGGCTGGCTTCGAACTCCTGACCTCGAGCAATCCGCCTGCCTCGGCCTCCCAGAGTGCTGGGATTACAGGCGTGAGCCACCGTGCCTGGCCTTAGAAAGTTTTTATAAGGTCTCCAACTTACCCTTCATTTAAAAAAATATCTTTATTATGATATCACATACCATAAAATTCACCCATTTAAAGTATACCAATTCAGTGATTTTAGTAGTTCACAGATTCCTGTGCAACCATCACCAAAATCTAAGTTTAGAACAACCAAAATCCAAGTTTCATCACCCTAGCAAGAAACCTGTACCCACTGGTAATCATTTTCTATCTACCCCATTCCCAGCCCTAGGTCACTGCTATTATTTATATCTATAGATTTGTCTAATCTGGACATTTCATATAAGTGGGATTATATAATTTGCAGTCTTCTGTGACTGGCTTCTTTTACTTGGCATAATGTTTTCTTTTTATTTTTTTAGAGACAGGGTCTTGCTCTCATTGCCCAGGCTGGACTATAGTGGGTTGTAGAGCTCACTGCAACCTGGAATGCCTAGGCAATCTTCCTGCCTTAGCCTCCCAAGTAGCTGGCACTACAGGCACTGGCCACCATGCCTGGCTGTTTTGTTTCTTTTTTTTTATATATGTTGTAGAGATGCACTTCTTGCTATGTTGCCAGGCTAGTCTTGAACTCCTGGCCTCAAGTGGTGCTTCCACCTTGGTCTCCCAAAGTGCTGAGATTACAGGTGTGAGCCACCATGCCTGGCTGCTTAGCATAATGTTTTCAGGGTTCAGCCATGTTGTAGTATGTAACCTTTTTTTAATGGGTGAATAGTATTGTATAGATATAGGACATTTTGTTTATTTATCAGTTGGTGGAATTTATTGAGTTTAAGACTAGTCTAAAGGAAAAAATTATTGGATCAAATTATAAGGCTAAAGACCCTGGAAATAGAAGAGAAGGAGAAAAAAAGATAAGGCTCTTTTGAACAACTTCCTTTTTAAAGGATCAGGCATAGTAGTCTTACTAAGGAGATTTTTAGATTAGATATAACCATCAATTATTACATGTAAGTTATTGTATAGTACATTTTAGATAATATCTTTAGTAATTGACTTCTCCTTTTCATGACAGGAAACTCTGAGTACCTTGGAATATGCTCATCGAGCAAAGAACATAATGAATAAGCCTGAAGTTAATCAGAAACTCACCAAAAAAGCTCTTATTAAGGTAATTGTGAATTTTTATGATGTAATGTAATCTTGTTTGAGAAATGTGAAAATAAGGAACTGAAACATAAAATTGCAAAGCAAAATTTGTTACATTGCCTGTTAAATTTGTTAAATCACTTTTTATCTAGTGATTTAAACTAAATACCTTCTATGTTAAAATGTTTTTCCTATTGACAGTTTGTTGACTTTACCAGCTTTATCAAGTGAGTTGGTACCCTTAGCAAAATTTGGATATATTTATATTTACAAAATATATTTATTTATTTGCATCTCTAATTTACATACCATAACATCTACCTATTTTAAGTATATCATTCAATGATTTTTAGTACATATACAGAGTTGTGCAACATCATCACAATCTAGTTTTAGAAAAGTTTTGTCACTATTAAGTTTCCCTTTGCTCCTTTGCAATCAGGTGGCTACTGATCTGCTTTTTGTCTATAAATTTGCCTCTTCTGGATATTTCTTATAAATAAAATCATATAATATTTGGTCTTTTGCATCTGGCTTCTTTCACTTGGCATAATGTTTGAGGTTCCATTTATGTTGTAACATGTATCTGTAATTCATTTCTTTTTATCGTTGAATAGTATTCCATTATATGGATAATACAGTTGTTTGTACATTCACCTATTGACATTTGTGTCATTTCCAGGAATGCCACTATGAACATTCCTGTACATGTTTTTGTGTTGATGTGTTTTCATTTCTCTTGGATAGATACTTAAGGATTTAATTTCTGGGTTGTATAAAAAGTTTATGTTTAATTCTTTAAGAAGCTTTTTCAAGTGTCTGTACCATGTTATATTTCCACCAGCAACATATGAGTGCTGTAGTTTCTCTGTATCCTCTCTAACACTTCTTATGGTCTGTCTCTTTAATTTTTTTTTTTTTTTCCCCAAGACACAGTCTTGCTCTGTTGGCTGGGCTAGAGTGCCGTGGAGGCAGCCTAGCTCACAGCAATCTCAAACTCCTGGGCTCACACATCCTCCTGCCTCAGTCTCCCGGGTAGCTAGCTGAGACTACAGGCATGCACTACCATGCCCAGCTAATTTTTTCTATATATTTTAGTTGTCCAATTAATTTCTTTCTATTTTTAGTAGAGACGGGTCTCACTCTTGTCAGGCTGGTTTCAAACTCCTGACCTCAAACGATCCTCCTGCCTCGGCCTCCCAGAGTAAATTCCATCATTCTTAATTAATTGCTGAAATACAGGTTGAGTAGGCCTTATCTGAAATACTTGGGACCAGAAGTGTTTTGGATTTTAGTTTTTTTTTTCCTTCAGATTTTAGAATATTTGCATAATATAATATATATAATGAGCTATCTTGGGAATGGGACTCACATCTAAACACAGAATTCATTTATGTTTCATATACACCTTATACATGTAGCCTGAAGGTAATTTAATACAATAGCTTAAATAATTTTATGCATGAAACAAAGTTTTGACTGTCTTTTGACTGTGACCCATCACACACAGAATTTTCCACTTGTGGTGTCATGTTGGTGCTCAAAAAGTTTTGGATTTTTGGAACATTTTAGATTTTAGATTTTCTGATTAGAGATGCTCGGCCTATAACTCTGTAAAAAGGAACTTTCATCTACCCAGGGGTATAGTTAGTTCTACAAGAGAGGCAGGACACATGCTTGATTAGTTTCCTTTATTTACCAATTTTGAGAGTAATGAGTTGGTTTCCTAGCTTTTTTATTGTCATTATAACCTCATGGATTTAAAATATTTGTTTAATCTATTGTGGTTATTATCCACACTGATGCTCAGATTGTCTTATCTTTGACCAATGGGTACCTCTTGAAGTGGGTTCTTGAGTCCTTTTCACTAGTTTCCTATCTTGTTTGACAAAATGTCCCAGGTTCATCTTGAATACTCCCTGCTCCAGTCATAGAATCAGACCCTTCTCTATGGAATCCTGGTTCCTTTTAGTGTAAAATGCTACCAACCTTGGTATGGTGGTTGTGATTTTTCTTGAGAATCCCATATTTTCATAATGAGTGCATTTAAAGGAGCTTTGAAAGCCATTGAAAGACTTTATTTCTAAAGAAATTAATACTGATTTAAAAAGTATGGTTATAACTTTTTATTATACTTTTCTGAGTTTTAGAAAACATAAAAAGGCTAACTTTACGTTTTATTTGTTGCATATTCTCCCAAAACTGAATGAAAAAAAGTACTAAATTGACACCTACAACATTCCTCTTGTGTAGGAGTATACGGAAGAGATAGAGCGCCTGAAACGAGATCTTGCTGCAGCCCGTGAGAAAAATGGAGTATATATTTCTGAAGAAAATTTTAAGTAAGTCCTTGCTATGAAGTTAATTTCCAAGAGTAATCATTTTCTGATAACAGACTGTTTTAAGTAAAATTTACTTATGTAGCAGTTAAGTAAAATCTTTTTAAAATCTACTTAAGATAATACTTCAAGTAAAATCTTTATATCTAGTGCCTATAATGTTTGTTTTTGTTTTGTTTTGACATTAAATTGTTGTCAAATACTTTGCAGAAAATCTTTTATTAACTTATAACTTTTAAATAATTATGGATTCACATGAAGTTGCAAGAGTGTAGAAAGGTCTCAAGTATTCTTTACTCAGTTTTTCTCAATAGTTACTTACCTCTTATGTAACTACAGTACAGTATCAAAGCTGGGAGATTGACATTGGTGCAATGCAAGTGTATAGTTCTGTGCTGTTTTATCACATGTAGATTTGTGTAATCACCACTGCATTCAAGATGCAGAACTATCCTTTCATCACAAGGAGCTCTCTCAATAATCCTCAGTAGTCACACTCACCCCTCCTCTCCCAATGATTCCTACCCCCTGCAACCACTACTCTGTTCACTTTTTTTTTTTTTTTTGAGACAGAGTCTCACTCTGTTGCCCAGGCTGGAGTGCTGTGGAGGCATCCTAGCTCACAGCAACCTCAAACTCCTGGGCTCACACAATCCTCCTGCCTCAGTCTCCCGGGTAGCTAGCTGAGACTACAGGCATGCGCCATCATGCCTTGCTAATTTTTTCTATATATTTTTAGTTGTCCAATTAATTTCTTTCTATTTTTAGTAGAGACGGGGTCTTGCTCTTGCTCAGTCTTGTTTCGAACTCCTGACCTTGAGCTATCCTCTCGCCTCAGCCTCCCAGAGTGCTAGGATTACAGGTGTGATGGACCACGCCAGTGGCGTCTGTTCACTTTTTAAAGCCCTGAAGTAATTTGTTCAAAGGAAAGCTTTTGTTGAAGCCCATTATGTAAAAACAACAATAACAACTGAGAAAACAAGGGGAAAAAGGCAAGTGAGATGCTAAGGATTATAACTTGAAAATTCCTGTTTGTATTTTATCCTTGAAGATTTCAGGAAGGACAACTTTCACAGAACATTTTTAAAAAATTAATGATAAAAGATATTTAGATCTAATTAATAATCAGAAGCATTTTAGTGTAACCTTTCACTGAACTTTTTGATAGATGTTAACATTACATTATCACTCTAATAGTACATAAACCATTTAATAAACTCAGTTTTTTCCATGTAATTTCTTTTTTTTTTTTTCTTTTTCTTTTTCTTTTTTTTTTTTTTTTTACGGCACTACTGACAGCTGAATCCATGTAATTTCTAATTGTCATAGCATACTATATTCTGTTTTATATGCTAACTTTACAAATCCTCAAATTTATATTATATGAGTATCACAGGTTGTTAAATATTTATTCTTTTATTCTTTCTATGTGACTTCATTTTATTTGGTTCTTTCTTTGCCATATCCAGTTGGCAAAAACTTTTTTACAAAAACTTATTTTCCAAATTTGCACTTAATTCATAAACTTCATATTGTTCTTTTTTTTCTATTTGTGGTTTTCAGATATACTTCTTCATAGTATATCTACAGTGTTTCATTATATTTTTCAATTGTTTCATTTTAGCAATGTCCTTACCTCTACCACTTTTATATTTTTGACACTTTTATTTTTATTTAATAAACATTTTTTATATTTTAAGTTTGAAAATTACAGCTAGATAGGAGGAATGAGTTCTGCTGTTCTGTAGCACTTTAGGGTGAATATGGTTAGCTTTAACTTACTGTATATTTTTAAAAAGCTAGATGAAAGGATTTGGAATGTTCACAAACAAATGATAAAGGTTTGAGGAGCTGGATATGCTAATTACCCTGATATGATTATTATAATTGTATACATGTATGGAAATATTACTCTTTATCCCTTAAATATGTATAACTATTACATGTCAACTAAAAATAAAAGGGAAAGAATATTTTCAGTTTGGTATCAGAATGCTCTTGGTTTCTAGAAAACCCAACTTAAACTGTGTTAAAACAGCAAGGGATTTATTGGTTCATAAATGGGGGAAGTCCAGAGAGAGTGAACTTCAAGATTATTTGATCTAGTAATTCAAGGGTCCAGTTTCTATCTCTTCCCACTGCTGTCCTGATTGGTGGCTTTCTCCTAGGGCTGCTTTTCATCAGGGATTGCGGCCAGCAGCATAGCAGCTACATGCTATCTTATTCATGTCCAGTGTGGATGAGAAGTTGAACATCACTTATTGATGAGTTTAGGTCTGAATTGTTCATATATAAACCAATAACTGCCAAGGAAGTTGAGATTTACCTGATTGTCTTGAGCCAGTCAGGCTTTGTCCCTGGATCTAGGGATGGGGTAAGGCCCACCCAAACAGCCTGGCCAGCACAGTAGAGGGAGATGATCATTTCCCAAGGCAAATGCGGAAATGGGTGCTTAGTAGGCAACCAATGAATGTCTTCTACAAGTAGTTCTGCTCCTCGATTTCCTATTAGCAGTCAAATATTGGACTTTGTGGACTGTCTGATTTTCTTATCTTCACTGTCTATCTCTTTGAGGTGGTGTTTTGCTTTTTGGAAACAATTTTATGGGCTTTACAAAATACTCAGTATGAATGCTTAAGTTGCCCTAGAATAAGAAACAATATAAAATTGTAGGTTAGGTAACAGTTTACCATGACTGAAGGAGGTTTTGTTGGTGCTTTAAGAGTAAAAAATAATTGACAAGGCACTGAGTCCTGACTGTAATCTTTAGAAATGATAAAGTTTATTGTCTTGAAAAGACAGTGTGCTCTAACAGACATGAGGCATTATCTGAAACAAAGTTCTTTCTGAATAACATCTTGGAATTATTATACCCCTTAAGTCAGAGAAGGGCCACAAAGGCTACAGCCAACAGTCAAAACAGGGTAATGCTCTATTTACCCCATGCTTAATAGGCATTTTTAAACTATTAATATATGAAAACCATCTCATCCATACAATAACATTCAATATAAAAAAATATTTCAAACATTCCATTTTACATAAAAGACCTAGTTCTAAGAAAGAGCTAAAATATTTAATCAAAAGACTGTTAGAATTAACTCCTCTTACACCTCTGTTCTAGCTTTTCTTTTAATGGATAATATCTCTAGTAATATGTTGAGGGAATTCGCATTTGCAGAAGATTTTTTGTCATGTAAGCATAATGTGGAATAGAAAATTGTTGGTAGTGATGAAGAAAGTAAACAAGCAAAAGGAAAAGCATTCACTTCTAAAGAAATCAGAGGGATCCATTAAAGTGGTTCTAGAAGGCTTGTGAGCTTTTGTGCTCTGCAAAAGCATTGCTCTGTCTTGATCCTACTTTTTACAACTTCTTTGTCTTTGACTTTATCTTCTAATATTTCTGTTGTATTTTATTTCTGCTGTCAAATTTTTAGTTTTTAAAAATTCTTGTTCTCGCCGGGCGTGGTGGCTCACGCCTGTAATCCTAGCACTTTGGGAGGCCGAGGCGGGTGGATTGCTCAAGGTAAGGAGTTCGAAACCAGCCTGAGCGAGACCCCGTCTCTACCAAAAATAGAAATAAATTAATTGACCAACTAAAAATATATATACAAAAAATTAGCTGGGCATGGTGGCACATGCCTGTAGTCCCAGCTACTCGGGAGGCTGAGGCAGTAGGATCGCTGAGCCCCGGAGATTGAGGTTGCCGTGAGCCAGGCTGACGCCACGGCACTCACTCTAGCCTGGGCAACAAAGCGAGACTCTATCTCAAAAAAAAAAAAAAAATTCTTGTTCTCCATCCTACTTGCCCCTCCTTTTTTTTAAAAACAATCTAATATCCTGTTCTTTTATAGATACAGTGTATTGCTTATCTTGGAAAAATTATTAATGTTACTGAAGTGTTTATTTTTTTTTCTGTCTTTCTTTTGGGATCCCTTTTCTCCCCTTGTTCATTGTGGTATCTGTTATTTGTGTTTATTTTCTTCAAATGTCTAGTGATTTTTGGCTGGCAGTGAAAATGGATTAGAAACTTTGTACATGGTGAGAATTCACTATAGGGTGAAAAAGTGGTGATCTCAGTGTTAAGTATGGACTTCCATCAAATATCATTCTTTGTTGAATTTTTTCTTTTAGATAAGACCTTTCAGTCTTTCCAGAGAAGACTTGCCCAGTTTTCCACTTATAGATTATTCTGGCTGCTGGTGTTCTTGGATTAGAGTGGGCAGGGGAGACTGAGTATCCCACCATTCAGTATATAGATTTATACTGAAAATGTCTGTTTGTAGCCCCTAAACCTTATTCCCACTCTCACTGTATCTAGTGAAAATGAAGCTGGAAGTTCCACTGCAGTTCCTGTAGACTAGTGGCCCTCAATGGGGTTGGGAGGATTGGAGGTGGTGGTGGTGGTGGGTGGTTTTGCCCCCCAGAGGACATTTGGCAGTGTCAAGAGACAATTGTTGATTATCTTAACTGGGATGCTTCTAAATATCCTGAAATGCACAGGACATCCCCACAACAAAGAATTCTGGTTTAAAATGTCATTAGTGCTGAGGCTGAGGAACTCTACTGTAGAGAATAATCTCTTGATCTTACGTAGTGGTGTGATAGTGGTATATGTGTTGGTGCATGTGCAGGGGTCAGGCTTATGATTACTCTGTATACATAGTTTAATTTAGTCCTCCAATTTTTAGCCCCTTCTCTTACCCCTCTCTCCTATAATACTTGATGCCTTCAAATCTCAAGTTTTTCCAGCATTCTGTGGGGCATACTTATATTCCATATCCCTGATTACAGACACTTAGGTTGTATTCCTTCCATCTCTACTTTGAGTTATAGTCCTCTGTTAGCTAGCTTTCTAGCTTCTCAAATTTGATACACATATGCTTTTTCCTTCATATATTAGTTTCAGAATGGAAGTCAAAAGAAAAATATAACACAAAGACAAGGAATACATTTGTTCTTTGCAATTTATATTTATTGCTTATTGACACTTAGGCATCATTATTATGATGGTGATGAATGGTGGAGATGAGTTTGTGTAACTGCTATAATTGTGTTATTAATAGAGTAAATTTTATAAAAGTTAGGAAAAAACTATTAAACTTATATTAAATTTTATTTTAGAGCCATGAGTGGAAAATTAACCATTCAAGAAGAACAGATTGTAGAATTGATTGAAAAAATTGGTGCCGTTGAGGAGGAGCTAAGTAGGGTAAGCATTCAAGACAACATTCAATGTTACACAGAAAGCAAGCATTAAAAGAAACTTTTAGAATGTGAAGGACCTGATACATTTTCCTTCTTTAAGATTTTTTTTGCTGATCTTTATACTGAAAGTAAGTTGTATTATTAATGATAATGAAAATGACAATATTAATGCAAGATTTACAAGAAATTAACTGAGTTATGTGATTTTTGTTGTAAAGCTACAAAATGGGTGAATGCTAAGGCATTTTTATTGACATGTTATCAGATGAAGGGATACAGATACTGGGAGAGACTGGATATTAAATAAAAGCAATAACTAAATTAGACAAGAGACCTCACCCTTTGATGCTTCCCTCACATTAACACCTTTATATTCAAATCCATTGACAGTGTTGGAGGGAAGCTGAAGAACTGATATCACTATACCAGACCAGTTATTTATTTTTTTTTCTTTTGAGACAGAATCTCACTTTGTTACCCAGGCTAGAATGAGTGCCGTGGTATCAGCCTAGCTCACAGCAACCTCAAACTTCTGGGCTCAAGCAATCCTTCTGCCTCAGCCTCCCAAGTAGCTGGGACTACAAGCATGCGCCACCATGCCTGGCTAATTTTTTCTATACATATTAGTTGACAAATTAATTTCTTTCTATTTATAGTAGAGATGGGGTCTCACTCTTGCTCAGGCTGGATTCAAACTCCTGACCTCGAGCAATTCGCCCACCTCGGCCTCCCAGAGAGCTAGGATTGCAGGGATGAGCCACCGCGCCCGGTCTAGATCAGTTATTTATTCTCAAATTTTTGAAGGAAGAAACCAGGTGCCATATAAAATGTGCTAACCTAGTTGGTAACTTGTTATAACTTTTATATGGAAGTAATTTGTTTTATTCTCCTAATATTATTAGAAGAATTTTATTTTATTCTTCTAATATTATTATGGGCTAGCCAGGTATCTCAACAACCAGATCGGCATTTTTTAATTCTTAAGAAATGTTTAATATATTTAGGTTACAGAGTTGTTTATGGATAAAAAAAATGAACTTGACCAGTGTAAATCTGACCTGCAAAATAAGACACAGGAACTTGAAACCACTCAAAAACATTTGCAAGAAACTAAATTACAACTTGTTAAAGAAGAATATTTCACATCAGCTTTGGAAACTACTGAAGAGAAACTTCATGATACTGCTAGCAAGGTTTGTCCTTTGTTTTGATTTGTACTCGCATTAAAGAAATTAGAAAATGGGTAGAAGTAACTTTCTATGCTTAAGCATTAATTGTGAGATTCTATTTCTTCACCCCAAATGATATTTCTGTCAATTTAAAAAACATTATTTTACTATTTCGTCCATATTTTTCTTCCTGGAGATTCTGACTTAAGAAAAAACTACTCCTGGAGTTTCGAAAATAGAACATGACTTCATAATGTATTTTGTAGATTTTTAGAATAATGACCTTGTGATGCTTTTTCTTTGTGGTGATGATTGAACCTAATTAGTCCTTAAGAATTCAGTACCTTCTAATGATGGAAGATGTTGAAAATCTTTAATTTCTTATTAGGTGTACTTTTGAGAAAGTAATAGAACATAACAGGAAAAAAATTTTTGAGGAAGCATAATTATTGCAGGAAATTGGCAAAATGGCTTTACCTTGCTTACACAGATGGCTAGTAGAGAGGAAATAAACATTCCTGGGCATCTGGATAAATTAGCATGAGATTAAGCATGTCATCTGATACAATGTCTAAAACTTACTAGTTCTTGTCAGGAGAAATCCTTATGTATTAATAGCACAGATATTTGCATTAGATTGCTTTTGTCATATCTGTCTTAACATTTATTTTTAAAAATATCATATAGTTGCTTAGCACAGTTGAAGAAACTACAAAAGATGTATCTGGTCTCCATTCCAAACTGGATCGTAAGAAAGCAATTGACCAACACAATGCAGAAGCTCAGGATGTTTTCGGCAAAAACCTAAATAGTCTGTTTAGTAATATGGAAGAATTAATTAAGGATGGCAGCTCAAAACAAAAGGCCATGCTAGAAATTCACAAGACCTTGTTTGGTAAGTTAAAACTTTTATATTCTAGTGTTTATGTATTTAGTGTGAGGCTGATTTCAAAACTGATAATTTAATTTTGTAAACTCAGGTGATAGTGCCACTAATACCCTCCCCAGTGTACATGCTATATGTTTAGACTAGAGATTAATGCTTTTACTGTCTTGGAATTACAACAAATCTTAGGGTTTCCCCCCCATTTTCTATAAAATGTTATATTTATTAAATAAGAATATATTTATAAAAGTCCTCTATCCCTGATCCTTGTTTATTCCCCATAGGTATTACTGTTACATTTCCTGGGTCTCTTTTTAGATGTTTTCTGTGCATAAACATTCTATAACTTTTCTTTCTTTGGGGAATATATATCTTGAAGGTTTTTTATATTGTCAGAATATGTGTATCATTATTTTTAACCATTCCATTTTTATCTCCCTATAGAAGAAAACTCTTCAGTATTAGTTTATTTATTATGAAATACTATCCTTATGAAATACTATCCTCTTTATAGAAAATTAGAGATCCTGAAATGTAAAAATAAAAAAATCACTAAGGCTCTAGTCACACTAAGCCAACCACTATAAATTTTGGTATTGATTTCTAGTTTCTCTTTTCTTCTATGAACTTTTTTCCTACTATAATACTGTATATTATTTTTAGTTAGAGATTAATTTTAGAATATTCTAATTCTTGGTTTATTAGGAGTTATAGTTATGGGTCTGATAAATTTACAAATATGTCAAGATCTTACAGAACACTATAAAACTTATATAATGTATATTTAAAATATTTCCTTCCTTATATAGTGAACCAATTCTTTTAAGCTTATTTGTTATTGTAAATTCCACAAGGATGTAATTTTGCCAGCCTCTTCAAAATGGTTCAGACTGTATTTAAATATATTTATGTCAAAGTTTACCTCTTTTTTTTGTTGTTGTTATAGGTAATCTGCTGTCTTCCAGTGTTTCTGCATTAGACACCATTACTACAACAGCACTTGGATCTCTCACATCTATTCCAGAAAATGTGTCTACTCTTGTTTCTCAGATTTTGAATATGATATTAAAAGAACAATCATTAGCAGCAGAAAGTAAAACCATACTGCAAGAATTGATTGTTAGTACCTCTCTTAAAATATTTTTGAAGAAATACATTCAATAAGTCTTCAAAAACAATGTTAACTGCCATTATTTCATCTTAAGCTTTGCTAGACAGTGATAGACATATCACTATTAGAGAATATGTTTATATGTGTAAAGACAAATTTCTGGTTTTTTCCTCCCAGAAAGATTGATTTCCAAATGTATATCATTAATATTTGAAAACTTTTTTCACTCATATCTTATAACACTAGAAGTAGGCGTTATTAGTGAGCCTTCTAATGACTAAAGGGCAGGTTTAGCATCACGTGATTTCAGGGGACCTATGACTTGTTAGGTGGCCTAGAAATTGATAAGTCATCCTTTCTCCAAGGGTCCTCCAACCCCCTCCAACCAAAAGGGGATACTGGGTACTTAATTTTAACCCTTTGCACTTGCTTGCTTTTTTCTCGATTCCTTTATTCTACTCGGGATTTAATCTTTTAAATACCCCAGATTTTACAAAGCACAGCAGTAGAATAAAAAACTGGAATTTCTTTTCATATAAATTTATTTATTTGGATTTTTTTATATTTCAAATTATTAATACATTCAAAGAGTAATTTTTTAATCTCTATAATTTTTCATGGTGTGATATTTTTTGAAACATTCACCCACATGAAGACCTGGTTTACATTCACATGTTTTGCAAATATAAATCATCTCTCTTCTTCCTCCTTTGGTTTTTCTGTTAGAACAAACAATGTGGTCGGGTGCGGTGGCTCACCCCTGTAATCCTAGCTCTCTGGGAGGCCGAGGCGGGTGGATCCTTTGAGCTCAGGAGTTCCAAACCAACCTGAGCAAGAGCCAGACCCCATCTCTACTGTAAATAGAAAGAAAGTAATTGGCCAACTAATATATATAGAAAAAATTAGCTGGGCATGATGGCGCATGCCTATAGTCCCAGCTACTCGGGAAGCTGAGGCAGCAGGATTGCTTGAGCCCAGGAGTTTGAGGTTGCTGTGAGCTAGGCTGACGCCACGGCACTCACTCTAGCCTGGGCAACAAAGTGAGACTCTGTCTCAAAAAAAAAAAAGAACAAACAACACAATCTTTGTGTTTTTTGTGAGGTGTGATTATATGGAGCTTTCCATCTAAATGTTGCTCTAAGTTAGTGGATAATAATCTACCCCTCAAAGTTAGTGTACCATCTCTGCATTTACATTTTACTTGTCCTTTCATGCTAATGAAAACAAGAAAAGATACTGGAAAAATAGACAAAAATCCCCCTTCCTCCCGCAGTGAAACTACGTGTCGAGTGTGGCTCGACATACAAGCTGCTACCGATGCTAACTGTGTCGAGTCACACTCGACATCCGAGTGCAAAGGGTTAAAACTACCGTAATATATGATAGTGATCTATAATGGTGGCGCAAGAAAAATAACTTAGAATTCTAGTAACGTAGCAATTCTTGGGGTTAGGTCTGTGTGGCCAGGCCTTTCTGAGCCTTAACTGTAAAGCTTTTTCCACAGTTGTATAGAAGTCACTCATCTAATTACACTTAATATTACCTCCTTCATACCTGTTTTATATATATTCTTTATTTTGTAATTTTATGGTTTGTCTAGGCCATATCACTTATTTTTGTTTGCACCAGCTCTCTGTCTCCTTTTATGGGTTTAACAATATTTATTTATTTATTTTTTGTGATAGAGTCTCACCCTGTTGCCCAGGTTAGAGTGCTGTGGTGTCAGCATAGCTCACAATAACCTCAAACTCCCGGGCTCAGGTGATCCTTCTGCCTTAGCCTCCCAAGAAACTGGGACTACAAGCATGTGCTACCATGCCCGGCTAATTTTTTCTATTTTTTAGTAGAGACAGGGTCTCGCTCTTGCTCAGGCTGGTCTCAAACTCCTGAGCTCAGATGATCCTCCCGCCTTGACCTCCCAGAGTGCTAGGATTACAAGCGTGAGCCACTTATCCGACCATTTAACAATATTTATTAAACATTTTCCAAGTAAATACTACAAATGTTAGCTGACCAGCTGCCTTGATTCAGTGCTTATATGACATTATTTGATAAGTTTTTTTAATCACCAAAATTCCACAGAGTTAAAATTTATTCTGTCAGTACTAACTTCAAAAATTAATTTCATTCACTAAACAGTGGTCTGTATGCACAGGCTTTACCTTAGAGATGGTGCAGGTTCAGTTTCAGACCACCACAGTAAAGTAAAAATTGCAATAAAGTGAGCCACAAATTTTTTGGTTTCTCACTGCATATAAAAGTTTATACTACACTGAAGTCTATTTAAGTGTACAATAACATTATGTCTTAAACAATATATACACCTTAATTAAAGTTTACTTTATTCGTAAAAAATGCAAATGCTCATCTAAGCCGTGAGCAAGTCATAATCTTTTTGCTGGTGGAGGGTCTTGCCTCAGTGTTGATGGTTGCTCACTAATCAGGATGGCTGTGGCAATTTCTTAAAAGGAGACAACAATGGACTTTGCTGCACTGATTGCTCTTTCTTTCATGAAAGTAGTCTGTGATGCTGTTTGATAGCATTTTACCCAGAGTTTGAAATACTGAAATCTTTTTTTTTTTTTTTTTTTGAGACAGAGTCTTGCTCTGCTGCCTAGGCTAGAGTGCTGTGGCATCAGTCTAGCTCACAGCAACCTCAAACTCCTGGGCTCAAGCAACCTTCCTGCCTCAGCCTCCGAAGGAGCTGGGATTACAGGTGCATGCCACCATGCCCTGCTAATTTTTCTATTTTTAGTAGAGACAGGTCTGACTCTTGCTCAGGCTGGTCTCAAACTCCTGACCTTGAGCGATCCTCCCACCTCAGCCTCCCAGAATGCTAGGATTATAGGCGTGAGCCACTACCCCTGGTAGAATACTTAAATCTTATCAATTAACTGTCATTTTTCACTCTTCTGAATTCTTCTGACTTCTGTTTCATTAGATAAGAAATTATTCTACACTAAATGACCATTTTCTTAATTACTAGAGGAAAGACTAAGGGACTTATTCTGAATATAAACTCTAGATATACAGATCTATCTCTGTGGACTATAAAGGATAGAGAATGGAGACTTAGAATTTTAATGTGCATATATAGTTACCAAAGTATTTAAGATATTACCATTTAACCCACCAGGATTATGGAAGTGAAAATATTCTTTTTAATGATCTATTTGTTTTTTTTTTAAACCAGAATGTACTTAAGACTGACCTTCTTAGTTCACTGGAAATGATTTTATCCCCCACTGTGGTGTCTATATTGAAAATCAATAATCAACTAAAGCATATTTTTAAGACCTCATTGACTGTGGCTGATAAGGTAAAAAAATGTTATGTTCTTAATATCTCAAAATTGATGTTTAAGAAGGAAACTAATTTTCCTTTTTTCTTCTAAGATAGAAGATCAGAAAAAGGAATTAGATGGCTTTCTCAGTATACTTTGTAACAATCTACATGAACTACAAGAAAATACAATTTCTTCCTTGGTAGAATCACAGAAACAATGTAGAAACTTAACTGAAGACCTGAAGACAATAAAACAAGCCCATTCACAGGTATCTTGTTTAGCTCACTTGGGGAGTATAAAAGAAAGTTTTATGATGACTCAATATGACTTTAATAATCTATGTTACAATCCGAATGTTGTAAAACTAATTTAAAAACCTAAAAATACCATAACCACTATTGCTTATAACAGTTATCAATGTAAAATAATTGAGGATACTTCTTTTGATCAGTTAATGTTTAAGGATTTGCTACATGTAGAAGCCTATGCTGAAGCACTGTATAATAAACAAAACAGTCCTTTCCTCACATCAAGGTGAAAGGTGAATCTGGAGAAACATACCCTTAGAGGAAAATGGTTATAACATTTAAAGTGAACATGTAGCTACATTGTAACTTGGTAAGTTATTTTTCTAGGATGACATAGATAATTATTACCTTTCAGAAACCAAGACCTGCTTTCTCTTCTTATGTCTATCTCATTGATGACATTTGAAGTATAGTAAATTAATATAAGTTTAATTTTTATTGACTGGTTATAAATGTAATTCATGATTTATCCTCCTTAGTATATGACGCTTTAAGCCAAACCAAACCTCCAAACCATAATCTATAAATATTAGGTATATGGAAAACAACTTCTGGTATTCTTAAAATTTTAGTAATGAACATCTAAAGTTTTATCAAATGAGCCTATTATGATATGGCAGAACCCTTTGGTCAATAAAACTATTGACATGACTTAGGAGTAGAGTTATTTTTCTTTGGAAAATGATAGGGAAGGAATTCATATCCATATCACTCAAAAGGAAAGAAGAAAACACATCCAACACTTTTAGGTAAGGGTTAAAGCAACTTTATTTTATTTATTTATTTTTGAGACAGAGTCTCACTCTATTGCCCAGAGTAGAGTGCCGTGGCGTCAGCCTGGCTCACTGCAACCTCAAATTCCTGGACTTAAGCGATCCTCCTGCCTCAGCCTCCTGAGTAGCTGGGACTACAGGCATGCACCACCATGCCTGGCTAATTTTTTTCTATATATTTTTAGTTGGCCAAATAATTTCTTTCTGTTTTTAGTAGAGACAGGGTCTCGCTCTTGCTCAGGCTGGTCTCGAACTCCTGAGCTCAAAGATCCACCCACCTCCTTGGCCTCCCAGAGTGCTAGGATTATAGGTGTGAGCTACCAGCGCCCAGCCTAAAGCAACTTTAAAATAAGATTATTAATTTTCTATTTGTTAAGCATGAAACGGAGAGGATTGACATCAAAAAATAGTAAAAATAATAGTTAATATTTATTGAGCAACTTACTATGTGTTTATTCCTCCTGCCTATATATATATTTATATATTCTATTACTAGCTCAGTTTTCTAGAGAGGAAACAGATCTTATGAGCATCTAATAGATTTACATCATCTGTAGATGGTGATGGTGATCATATTGCCTGAAAGGCATCCATTTTTGGGTTGCTCTTATGTTTCTTGGCAATTTAAAATTGCAATAGTTTCTCAGACCTATGCATGGCGTATTTGCCTTAAACCTGTCAAGAACTTTTTAGGTATATATTCTAAGGCTGTATGCTTTTTGTAAATTAACTGTTTTGAAATGCTTAAAATTGGTAGACAACTGACTAAGAAATCAAAACAAAAACCTTGATCTGAAAAGTATCTAATGACTTCCTGGCTATAAGGAAGCAAGTTCATTAAGTGAGCTATTTCTTAGGTTTTCTACAACTAGAAATGAACACTAATAAAACAATTATGTAAAAACTTGAACACATTGACATGTAGATAAATCTGACAATACCTACATTATTACCCCCTACTTCTAGACTAGTAAAAATACTGACAGCCTTTTTTTTTTTTTTTTTTGGAGACAGAGTCTCGCTTTGTTGCCCAGGCTAGAGTGAGTGCCATAGCGTCAGCCTAGCTCACAGCAACCTCAAACTCCTGGGCTCAAGTGATCCTCCTGCCTCAGCCTCCCGAGTAGCTGGGACTACAGGCATGCACCACCATGCCCAGCTAATTTTTTCTATGTATATTAGTTGGCCAATTAATTTCTTTTTTATTTATAGTAGAGACGAGGTCTTGCTCTTGCTCAGACTGGTTTCGAACTCCTGACCTTGAGCAATCCGCCTGCCTCAGCCTCCCAGAGTGCTAGGATTACAGGCGTGAGCCACTGCGCCCGGCCTTACTGACAGCCTTTATTCATAATCAGAATGTTAGACATTTTTTGTCAGCTGATGTGTTATTCAAAGATAATGGCCAAGCAACAGACTGATCAGTGAACAAGAATGCTATATACATTTTCAGCTCCTCCTTGGTCTTTAGTGCAGCTTCTTCATTTTGCAATGTAGCATGTTGTGTGCCTATAAGAGCTTGTTTTTAAAGATGTCAAATATGAGCAAAGATAAGACTCTATTTACATTTTATTAATATGATCCAACTAGATTCTGTAAAATTATTCAGCTCCATTAATCCATAATTCTATTGGATTACTTGACCATTAGGTTATCAGCATTAATCTTCCCTTCTGGTAGTGTTATGAGTCAAAAATCAACTGGATCTGTTAAAGTTCTTAAACATAATATGACATCCAGGTTTGTTTAACTACTTTTGAGGTACACTGAAATTAATTTGTTACTAATAGTTAAAATAGAAATATTTGCTAAATATTTGCTTTTTAAAAATCCCTATACCCCCCCCCATGTATTGTTGTAAAAAAAAAATTCCCTATATTATCCTTTCGATATCACTTCCACTACTTTCCTGTGGGAGAGAGATGGAATTAAAGATCTCTTGTCAAGGATTTGTGTAACTTCACCTATAGAGAATACTTCTTATCATCAGTCATTTATAGAAAAAATGTTCAAGTGTCATAATTTTAAGTCTCTTCTCCTTCCCATACCTTTCTTATAGGAACTTTGCCAGTTAATCAGTCTCTGGACAGAGAGATTCTGTGCTTTGGAGGAAAAGTGTGAAAACATCCAGAAACCACTTGGTGGTATCCAAGAAAGTATACAGCAGTAAGCGATTTTTAAATTCTTTTAAACTCTTCTGTAAGTCTACAGTTATTTCAGAAGAAAGTTTTCAGTACTACAATTAAGTCCTTTGTATACTTTCAACCAAATTTCTCGTATGTTGCTATTTTATTATGTATGTGTGTGTGTATGTGTATGTATGCATGCACATAAATTTCTTTCCATTCCACTTGTGCTCCCTTTTCAGACAGATTCTGGTTCTTATCCTGAATCTATTTTCTTACTTCCTCAATCTCAGAATACACATTAAGTAATTTCACAATTTCTAACCTGTATCACTGGTAAAAAACACATTTACTAACTAGAGCAGGATTTGGTAAACTATGGCTGGCAGGCTGGATGCCTGTTAGTTATTGTAAATAACTTCACTGGAAACAGCCATGCCCATTTATTTATACGTTCCCTTTGGTTGTCTTTGGCTACCTTTACACTTCAATGGCAGAGTTAAGTCATTGCATCAAAGTCATTGCACCATAAGCCTAAGATATTTGCTATCTGGCTTTTTAAAGAAAAAGCGTGCTGATTCCCATCCTAGAGTTTAATGTTGCTTTCAGAACCTCACTGCTTGCCAATCCTGCATACTTACCATACCTCCAGTCAGACCTATGTTTTCTTTTAGGAGTTTTACAATTTTATGTTTTACATTTAAATCCATCATCCATTTAAAATTTTTATGTAACATGATATTTGTCAAGGTTCAATTTTTTGCCTGTGAATATTCTAAACTCATGAGGAGAAAGCTATTCTATTATATTTACCTCTATTTTTGCCTATGTAATTGTTCCTTCCTGAAGTTCCAAGCTTCCTTTGCTGTGGAGAACTTTTTAGTCTTTAAACGTAAGTCTGCTAGCCACAAATTCTGTTTTCCTTTGTCTGAGAATGTTCTGATTTCTCCTTCATTCCTAAAAGCTATTTTCACTGGATATAGAATTCAGGGTTGACATTTCTTTTTTTTTTTTCTTAAGTATTTGAGATATGTTTTTCCGTCTCCTTCTGGTCTCTACAAGATGAGAAGTCCATCGTCATTCAAGTAATTCTTCCCCTATAGGCAATTTCTCTGCAGTTGCTTTCAAGATTTTTTTCTGTCTTTAGTGTTTAGAAATATGATTATATTGTGTATACTTATTTATTTCTTTCTTTGAGTTTATTTTGTTTGGGGATTGTTCCACTTCTTAAATCTGTAGGCTTATTCTGCCTTTCACCAAAGTTGGGAAATTTTCATCTATTAGTTTTTGAATATTTTTCAGTCCCATACTCTTTCCCCTCTGCACCTATGACTTTGATGACACAAATGTTAGATTTTTTATTATGGTCCCTGATGGGGGAGATATGCACGTGCGTGCGCACACACACATACATATTTCTCATATATATATATAATTTTTTCCCTGTTTGTTGTTCAGATTGGGTAAATTCTATTGATCTGTCTTCACGTTCACTGAGTCTTCCTTGGTCATCTCTAACCTACTGTCGAGCCTGTTCAATGAAATATTTTATTTTTCAGGAAAGTTTTAATTGCTTGTTGAAGCATGTTTAAGATGGCTGCTTTAAAATCCTTTATCACCTGAGTTTTCTCATTGTTGGCATCTTTGATTGTCTTTTTATTCAATTTGTGATTTTCCTGGTTCTTGATATATGATGAGTGATTTTTGATTGTATCTTGAACATTTTGGGTATTATGTTAGGAGATTCAGGATCCCATTTAAGTCTTCTTTTTTAGCAGGCATTTACCCTTTTTAGTTTTAGTGTACAGGTTCTGGCTCAGTTTTGTGGGCTGTGATTCCATTGACAGTTTAATTTTCAGAGCCTGTGTGTGTTATGTATGCTTTATGTGCTTACCACATGACAAAAATTTGTATTTTTTGTTGGATGAAGTATTCTATACATGTCATTTAGGTCAAGTTGATAGATAGTGCTATTCATCTATATCTTTACTGAGTTTCTGCCTACTTGTTCTATCAGTTACTAAGATAGGAGCGTTGAAATCTCCAACTGTAATTGTAGATGTTTTTTATTTCTCTTGTTAGTTCTATCAGTTTTTGCCTCAGGTATTTTTGATACTCTTTTCTTGGCTACACATACATTTAGGATTGTTATGTCTCCTTAGAGAATTGACCCCTTTATCATTATGTAATATCCCTTTTATTCCTGATAATCTTTCTTGTTCTGAAATCTACTTTGTCCAACAATCTATAACTTTCAACTGATTTGTTTAGACCATTCACATTTAAAATGAGTATTGATATAGTTGTATTAAAATCTGCCATTTTGCTATTTTTATTTGTTGCATTATTTGTTCTTTATTTCTTTTTTCCTCTTTTTGCCTTTCCTAATTTAAATTGAGCATTTTTTTTGTTTTGTTTTGTTTTTTGAGACAGAGTCTCACTTTGTTGCCCAGGCTAGAGTGAGTGCCATGGCATCAGCCTCGCTCACAGCAACCTCAATCTCCTGGGCTCAAGCGATCCTCCTGCCTCAGCCTCCCAAGTAGCTGGGACTACAGGCATGCGCCACCATGCCGGCCAATTTTTGTATATATTTTTTGTTGGTCAATTAATTTCTTTCTATTTTTGGTAGAGACGGGGTCTCGCTCAGGCTGGTTTCGAACTCCTTACCTTGAGCAATCTGCCCTCCTCGGCCTCCCAAAGTGCTAGGATTACAGGCGTGAGCCACCTCGCCCGGCCATAAATTGAGCATTTTTATGTTTTCATTTTATCTCTTCCATTAACTTGTTTATACTTTATTACCTTTTTTTGTGGTTTTTCTAGGATTTATAATATCTTTTTTTTTTTTTTTTTGAGATAGAGTCTCTGTTGCCTAGGCTAGAGTGCAGTGGCATCATCATAGCTCACTGTAAACTCCAACTCCTGGGCTCAAGTGGTCTTCTTGCCTCAGCCTCCTGTGGAGCTGGGACTATAGGTATGCACCACCTTGCCTGGCTAATTTTTTTCTATGTTTTGTAGAGACAGGCCTTGCTTTTGCCCAGGCTGGTCTCGAACTCCTGGCCTCAAGTGATCTTCCTGTCTCTGCCTCCCAAGGTGATAGCATTACAGGCATGAGCCACCATGCTCAGCTTACATTTTTAAATAATTTAAATCCACTATCAAATAATTTGACATGTAATGAAAGGACCTTATAAATACATTCCCATTTCCTTCTTCCCATGTCTGTGTTGTTTTTTCACGTATCTTACTGGTACATGTGTTATATACATATACCTAATACATTGTTACTTGAATTGCTTTATCTATTTTCTTTGAGACAGAGTCTTGCTCTGTCGCCCTGGGTAGAGTGCAGCAGTATCATCATAGCTCACTGCAACCTCAAACTCCTGGGCTTAAACAATCCTCTTGCCTCAGCCTCCCAAGTAGCTGGGACTACAGGCACACACCACCATGCCCAGCTAACTGTTCTGTTTTTTGTAGTGACAGGTCTTGCTTTTGCTCGGGCTGGTCTTAAATCCCTGAGCTTAAGCAATCCTCCTGCCTTGGCTTCCCAGAGTACCTAGGATTACAAGCAGGAGCCACCGTGCCTAGCCTGTTTTCTTTTTTAATATGTCCACTAGAAAATTTGAAATTATATATGTGACTCACATTATATTTCTATTGAGCAGTGTTGCTCTGGAATTCTAGCCATCACATATATATGTCACTACCTAATGTCTGTCAACTGTTTTTCAGCCCTGTTGTCGATCCTATTCAGTATAGCATATTCTATTGTGAACTTTTTGTAGATTCTGAATCTAGAAAGTATTTCCTACTTTTTATTCCTAGTGTCCAGGCTAATGGATTTCTGGCTCATTCCTTAGCTTTAGAGGGAATAACTAGAGCAGGATTGAAGTGGGAAGTGAGCTATGATATACTTTCTTAAGGCCTATGCAAGTCATTTTTCCTGTCTTTCTGACATTAATTATCCACATCATTGTTTATCAGTGTGTGGTGCTCTGTGTAAAATGACCCATGAATCTAGGTGATATTTATGTACACTGAACCTTTGGCATTGATTGTCATGGTATGTAGCCACTTTTTTTTTTTTTTTTTTTTTTTTTTTTTTTTTTTATATGTAGCCACTTTTGACTAAATCTCATCTTCCCACTGGTTGTAAGTTCTTTGTGGGGAGTGATTTATGTTGATAGTGTCCAAATTTACCACTTAACTTTCTTTTCCTTTTTCAGCCACTTCCACTTAATTTGTAGGTTTGGTTTTGAACATGTTTACTTACTTAGTTTACCCACATGGTGTACCATCTAGCAATAATAGAGAGTAACTTTCATTCACTAGGGTTTAACTCTGTGGTCCTGTGAGATGGCTTTGAATGCTATAGGGAAACACACTGAGAGGAGGAAATCATCAATGAATTTTAAGTGTATATTTTAACTGATGTTAGTTTTATATCAAGTTTCTGTCACATTTTTCTGTATGTATAATTTGTCATACCCAGATATGATTTCTTTTAATTATTAGAAAAGTTTATAGTTGACTTTGTAAAATAACTTTTATAATGTTTATGATTTATTTTATGTACTAGGCAAGGGAAACTGCTTCATAACAGAATAATGGACAAATTGGCCAATTTAGGGACTAGACCAGAGGCTGTCAGAGATGTCCTGAAGTAACAGTTTAGTAAGAGGAATAAAACAAGTAGATAAATTTCATTTTGATAACTGTATAATACTGTAAAAGGTACAAAGGAAAGCATCAAATCTGGAGGGCTGGGAAAGGTTTCATGAGGAAAGATGATCTTTTCAAATGTCATTTAATGACAGATGTGATGTCAGTCTGCTGTGAAAAGACACTGGCCAAAGCATCCATCATCAATGTAGAAGATTCCTTAAGACCTTGGGCCCTGGAGCCAGACAGCCTGCATTCAAATCTGCTATCTTAGGGCTGTGTGATCTACAGAAACTATATATCCTTTTAGTCTTAGTTTTCAGTTTCAACAATGTCATTCTCCTTTCTTGCAGGAAATCTAAGGATATTATCAACAAAACAACTTTTCACAGCAAAAAATTTTGTGCTGATTCTGATGGCTTGTCACAGGAACTCAGACATTTTAACCAAGAAGGTATAACATTGGTTGAAGAGTCTGTGAAGCACTGTGATAAACTCAGTAGCAACCTGGAAAAAATATCTCAAGAGACTGATCAGAGATGTGAGTCTCTGAATACAAACACAGTGCATTTTTCTGAACAGTGGATATCCTGCTTAAATAAAAAGGAACAGGAACTTCAGAACTTACTGGAGGTAAATTGGAACCTATTTTGGGGAGAATAGTAATAACCAGAAAATTAAATTTCCTAGCTAAGAACTGGCTTCAAAACAAATTGTATTTTAAGATATAATGATTTAAAACTTCTAAGTATAATACTTGATGTGCTTATACATGATCTTGTTTCATGCTTGATATAATGTCTTCTAAATCTTGACGTTAATTTAACATTTGTCCAGTTTCTGTCCTGTATCTATCCTTGATTTTTGACTTATCAGTTTTCTCAGGGAAGGGAGCACCCTGTCTTTTGATATATAATACCTTCCACTTATATATGATTTTTGCTCTTCTCCAGGTACAGTCAGACCTATTATTGCTTTAAGTGTTTAGGATATTGTTCTGGTGGCTCAAAGGATACTTGATAGGTTTGTGGGTTTGCTTGAACTTAACACTTGCATGAGTCCTTTGTGACTTAGTTTTTTCTTTCTGTGCAATACACGGATTTTACTAACATTCTCAGGAACTAGGTACAAAGAATAAGTAAGTATTTTAAGCTGTATAAGCTCTTTTCCCTAAAAGGAACCAGAGTTCATGGAGAAATAGCTGACTTCAAGTTTAAGGCAGAAAATGTGTAAAAAATGAGCCTAGAGATCTTATCATATCAGAAAGTAAGGAAGCTATTAAAAATTACTAGGATTGTGTCAAAAGGACTTAGTAGCCAACCTTTCCCTGTTCAAAGGTCGTATAATTTGAGCATCAAAAAGAATAATGGCTATAGTGGATTTAAAACACATCAAATATATTAAAGCTCATGAATTCATACACATTTCATAAGCCTCTTTTCTTTTCTTTTTTTTCTTTCTTTCTTTTTTCTTTTTTTTTTTTTTTTTTGACAGAGTCTTACTCTGTTGCCCAAGCTAGAGTAAGTGCCATGGCATCAGCCTAGCTCACAGCAACCTCAAACTCCTGGGCTCAAGCAATCCTGCTGCCTCATGCCTCAGCCTCCTGAGTAGCTGGGACTACAGGCATGCACCACCATGCCCAGCTAATTTTTTGTACATATATTTTCAGTTGATCAATTAATTTCTTTCTATTTTTAGTAGAGATGGGGTCTGGCGCTTGCTCAGGCTGGTTTTGAACTTCTGACCTTGAGCAATCCGCCTGCCTTGGCCTTCCAGAGTGCTTAGGATTACAGGCGTGAGCCACCACGCCTGGCCCATAAGCTCCTTTGGATCATTCTAGGGAAGCAATGCATTACTCTGAAACTTGTCAATAAAGAAACAATATAGCATCTATCTGTCTTTCCTGAAAGAACCATATCTTTGGTTCAACAGGATAATTAATGAAGAAAAGTATTTTGTAGATTCTCAAATAATAAAGTGGAGAAGAAATGATAGAATTAATATATCACCATTTTGCAACTCCTAATGAAATAACCCCTGTGGACATTAATGGCTGCTTAAACCATTTGATCTAAAGCTGATGGCAAACTTTATAATTAATAGGGTAACCATACGTGAACCTACTGATTAATCTTAACAAGAGAGACACAACTAGACATGTGCTTTCAGTACCACCTATGAAATATTCTTACCAAAATATTAAACCTGAATTAGATCAAGCCTTTAGATTTAATAACCAGTTTATAGAAAATACAAGGCTAGTTGCAGTGGCATATGCCTATAGTCCAAGCTACTCAGGAGGCTGAAGCAGGACCCCTTGAGCCTAGGAATTTGAGGCTGCAGTGAGCTATGATCGTGTCATTGTATTCCAGCCTAGGCAACAGAGTGAGACCCTGTCTCAAAAAACACAAGAATAAGAAAATAAAGCATAGATCAGTTAGTCAAATCCAGAATTTGAGATATTCAATAGAGACCTGGTTTCTTCAACAATAAAAATTTTTTTCAAGAGAAAAAAAATATAAGGAAGGATAACTGTAGATCAGAAGAGACTTAAGACTCTAGAGGGCCTTAAGTCCTACTTTGCCTAGATAGTCCTTGTTGTGTTGGGGTAATTAATAAGAATGGGCCCTTTTACTCTAAAAAGTGTCCCAGTTTGGACAATAAATTAAATAGTCAAGTATTTAAGACCTAACCATCAAATCTAGTGATGAATTCTGGTTCAAACAAACTAATTTTGATACATGTTCGAGACGATAGGTAAAATTTGAACATTGACTAGACATTTTGATATGAAGGAATTAATGTTATACTTTTTAGATGTGATAGTGGTCTTAAAATGCTCTTAACTTGAAGAGATATATGCTGAAGTAAATGGATGAAACGATACAGGATTTGCTTCAAAATAATCCTGGGTCTGAGGAGGAAGTGGCTAATCTTGTTTCATTTGTATCCTATGTGTTGGTAAATGTGCTGGGTAATGAATACAAGGGATTACTTAAACTGTTTTCTTTATTTTTGTATGTGTTTATAGAACTTTTATTAGGGAAAATTTCAAGGTAAGGAAAAATGACATAGTGAATAAAGGACTGACAACTTTAATATTAGTAATGAGAAAACTTATTTGCATCATTTACAGGTTGTAAGCCAATGTTGTGAGGCTTCAAATTCAGAGATCACTGAAAAATTTCGTGGACATAAAGCAACTAATGAGAACCAGCGTAACGTTTTTCTTGATCAGATAACTATTGATGAAGAAAAATTGATAGCACAAAATCTAGAACTTAATGAAACTATAAAAGTTGGTTTGACTAAGCTTAATTGCTTTCTGCAACAGGATCTGAAACTTGATATCCCAACAGGTAATTTAAAAGGGAAATAGAATTGTTAAATTTTTTGAAGTTGAACTTAACCCAGTACAGTGTCAGATATTCGGAAAAACTAGGTCCTGTCATTGCCTGATGGGAATTTGCCATCTCACAATAATCAACTCAAATATGAAAAAACTGGAACCCCAAAGCTGTTTTAATCAAGCATTAGGTGTCATGATATAGGTGATAATGTACTCCTAGAAATTTGGACATTGCAATTCAGCAAAATTTCACAAACATTCAGGGAACTGACTTTGTTAAGAAAAACATTTTCAAAGCAAAAACTGACCATTTACCCAGCACTGTCTGTAAGAGGATGTTTTAGTGCCCAAAATATTGGAAGGATATGATTGACTAAATCTAGTTTAATGCAAAGTTCACCACATTGTGCATTTTATTGTATCTCTTTCATTTTGTCATGGCATTTAGAAATCACCATTTTGAGAGATCAGATATGGCAAAGCCCAGTGTAGGCCATGATTGAGGGAGGCCTTCATGGAAGAAGTGTAACAAGCTGTTTTACACAGAATGAATAACTGGATTCTTCCCTGGATTGTGATGATAGTTGCATACCCTGTAAATTCATTAAAAATCATTGAGTTATACACTTTAAATGAGTGAATTTTATGGCATGTAAAATTATACCTCAAAGCTGTTTTTTTTAAAGCAGTTATAAAAGGAGATTGTGCTACAGAATGTTGGTTTATTTTTTCACCGAAAGACTTGTAAGATTTAAGTTCATTTTTCAATGAAATTGGGAATGTAAATACTGAGTGAAAAGGCAAATGCATTTGTAAGTTATGAAAGCATGAGCTCATTTTAAAGAAATGTAACTGGTTAATATTTACTGGTTAAAGAAATGTAGCTGGTTAATAATTACCACCAAGCCACATTTATAGTAAAATGATTACTCCTATCAAAGTAATCATGTTGGGAAATCTGTACTCTTAGAGTCTATAACACATCTTTTGTACATCCTCAGAGATGGAAAACTTCATATTTTGAGAGTAGGATGGATCTTGAAAATAGTCAAGTCTATTTATTTAAGGTCAGTTGTCAAACTAGAAAGTATTATTAGTTGCAAGCAATGTGTGCCTCATAGGTAACAAGAGTGATTCTCATGTATGGCAATTGTATAATATTTTTGGAAGACAAGACTCACTTGGAAGTGTAAGTTTTAGCATTTTAAAGAAAATTGTATTTATATCTCAGAATAATTTTTCCTACTTACCTAATGTCCACTAAAGGTATGACACCACAAAGGAAAAATTACTTATACCCATCAACACTGGTGAGAACTGAACCTCGTGAACATCTTCTTGATCAATTGGAAAGGAAGCAGCCTGAGCTGTTCATGATGGTAAACTGTTCAGGGAATAATAAAGAAGAGACCAGTCAGGTAAAATTTAAAGCAGCATAATTTTAGAACTCTCCTATAAACTCTTGATGTGGTTAGCTTTATGTGAAGAATTTTATTGTGTGCCCTTCAATCTTCCCCTGCCGCTCATTAATGACAGTTGTCTGTCCCTTAGGCTTGTTTCTTCTAATCTTATCAGTTTTTCAATTACTAGACTAGTAGATAATTATAATCATATTTATATTCTGTTTATTAACATTTTATATAGGAACCTCTACTCTATATAAAAGACATAGAGTCAAGGGATTATTATTTGTATACTTTCTGCTAATTTTGTTGAGGTTTAACTTTTATACAACAAGCACTGTGTTAAATTTAAAGAAGAAAACTGCCTTTACTTTCATGATGATTTTTATGCCCTTGGACCTTGTCACTCATCCAGCTTCTTATTTTAGGACATGGATATAGAAAAGGCAGTTCTGAGGCAATACATTGAAGAAGCTCTAAGTCAAGAGCCACCTGTAGAGGCTAGTGTGGATTGTTCATCAATTGGTGGAGTTCCATTTTTCCAGGTACCTGATTATATTATATCAGATAACCCACATCTGATGTAAGTCATTCGCTTACTACTCTATATAAAGGCAATACTCTTCGTGAGAAGAACAGCAAAACTTTTCAGTCATTCCTTTGGCATGGTTTATTAACTTTTCCAATTTAAATTACTTACACAAATCTAATATTGATAATGGGGTTTCTATAGAATAAATAAAGGCAAAATTTTACTTAACTATATCCTCAGCTACTGTGTTTCCCTGAAAATAAAACCTACCCATAAAATAAGCCCTAGCAGGATTTCTAACCATGTGCGCAATATAAGCCCTACCCGGAAAATAAGACCTAGTGATGGACATGGCTACACATTGTATCTGCACAACCCATGCATTTCGTGGTAAAGAAGATGAGCGGCCCTTCTCATCTGCCCCATGAGAGCTCTGTTGCTCGACATGAGAGATTGGGGCCAATGGTTCTAAAGGAAATAGAGTTGCAAGAAATTCAGGATGGAATTTGGGGTTTGGAGAGTTATGATGATGTTCCAGAAGATGACTTAACTATATTTGAACTATATTTGAATAAATGTAGATTGTTGTACTGTACTTAAAAAAAATAACACATCCCCTGAAAATAAGCCCTAGAGTCTCTTTTTGAGGAAAAATAAATATATGACTCTGTCTTATTTTCGGGGAAACACAGTAGTTATCTTTAGCTATTATAATTATCCCCATTCTGCTACCTATATACTCAGAATGGATACTGAGAGCAGTCATTTCTATCTTCCCCCTCTACGTTTCACACGGTCTTAGAGCCCATCTCTGGCCACAATCAGACTTTGAAGACTAAGAGGTTTAAAAGATTGAGAAACTGGAGGCTTCTTAGGTTCTGTTTCTCTTACCTGAGGCTCTTCTCTTGTTACCTATTCCTCCAAACTCCCTGAGCTCCTTGCCTACTCTGATCCTATGCAATTAAATCTTGTGAACTATTCCCACCCCCCTTTTAACTCTATTGGGAGCACAGCTCTATAAATTGCCTAGTGTGTTTCCCTCTAATTTGAAGATACAAGCTAAGGCAGAGTGTGTGAAGTAAGAATTTCCTTATGAAGGACATTGATATCTACATTTTACAGTTGAATTGCCACTTCTGATATGTACCTGTTTTTAATAGACTTATAGGTCTTTCCCTCAAGGTCTGAAGATTCTATCCCTGATTCAACTCTTAAAAGTTCACTTTAGATTCTCTTAAATTCCTCTGTGTCTATCTCTGGTAATTTTATCCTAAAATTCTTCCTACCTTTTGCTTTATTCTTTACTATTATAGAATAGTAAATATATTTCTTTCAGTTTTTCATCCCTCTCTTTAATCTTATGAAGTTAGGAAAAGAGGGAAAGATAAAAGAACCTTAGTGACCACTTAATAATACCTGGTCAGAAATCTTTTCATTATTATCATTTGTGGCATTTTGAAGGCTGGCCTTAGTGATTCAGCTAGAGCAAGGAAATCCCTACAGTATCAGAAAAGATTTGGGATTGAGTTTTAGACTTTCAGCTGAAGTCCAGAAATGACCTTTTCTTTAATAGCCGTCTGATAAGGGAGTTATTCTGGGTTTAAAACTTTAAAAGTTGGTTTATGATTTGTCTCAGCATTGATAATTGATTGTACAGTGAATGTCCCCAGTCTCAATGTTTTCTATAGGCAAGGAGGAAGATTCCAGCAAAATATAACTCCCAAATAAGGAATAGGAATTGAGTTTTTAAAAAGATAAAATACGATTTTTAAATAAGTAAAAGTGTCTTAAGGTAGTCCATATATCAGCATCTCTACTTAAAGTAGAATTTGCTTTTTTTGCACTATAGCAAATCTTTGTTTCCCTAGAGCAGGGTTCTTTGAGGGCAGCACTACTGATATGTTAAACTAGATAATTCTTTGTTGTGGTGGGCTTTCATGTGGATCTTGCTATGTGGAGCTGCATCCTTGGCTCCTACTTAGTAGCACTCCCTAGTTGTAACAACTAAAAATGTCTCTAGATATTACCAAATGTTCCCTGGAAGGCAAAATCACTCCCTGATAAGAACCACTAAATCTGTAATTCTGTCTTAAGAAATAATGCAAAAAATTAGTATTTCTTTCAGCCTACTTCTTTCATTAGTGGTAAAATAAAGAAGGTATCTGGCTGAGTGTAGTGGCTCATGCCTGTAATTCCAGCACTTTGGGAAACTTAAAGTGGGAGGATCACTTGAGGCCAGGAGTTCCAGACCAGCCTGGGCAACATAGTGAGACCTTGCCTCTACAAAAAAAATTAGCTGGTGTGGTGGCATGCACCTGAGCAACTCAGGAGGATGGGTTGGGGGATTGTTTGAGCCCAGGAGTTTGAGGCTGCAGTGAGCTATGATCATACCATTACACTCTAGCCTGGGTGACAAGAGTGAGACCCTGTCTCTAAGCAAAAAAATAAATAAATAAAATTAAAAAGGAGGGCATGCACCTCTACTTGCCAAATAAATTGTTGGCTCAAACTTGTGCTAAAATTTTTCTGAAGTTAGAGTATAGCTAATGTGTGTCAAATGTTATTTTATGTTGACTTAATTTCTCTACTTATATCCACAGCATAAAAAGTCACATGGAAAAGACAAAGAAAACAGAGGCATTAATCCAGTGGAGAGGTCTAAAGTGGAAGAAACTACAGAGCACTCTGCTACAAAGAGCAGATTACCTCTACGGGCCCAGATAAATCTTTAGTTAACTTGAGGGTCAGAGATTTTATTTTAAAGAAACATTAAGACTAAAACCTGAAACCCCAGAACTTGAGCCTTGTATATAGATTTTTAAAGAATTGATTAAGGCAAGATAGTACTGTAAACTTTATTGAACTTAATATCTACCCATTTTTCTGTCATCCTAAAGTTCACTGTGTATTAAGTTGGGTTTCATTTGGAATATGCATTTAGCAAATATATATTTCTAGCTTTTCATATAATGTAGCTTTTTTATAAAAAATGAAAAAAATTGTACATTATTAAATGAGGAATATATAGGAATTGTATTGGTCTTCTGTGCTTGAACTTACATAGGTAAATATCATCAAAACTTGGCCTTGGAAAAAACCATCTCATTTCTTTTCTTGCTGTGATTTAATTAAGTTTGTGTTTGCTTGCCTTGCCTCCCTAGACTTCCCCCAGCTCAATTTCTCCCTTTTTATTTTTCACCAAACCATTTGTATAGCTACAAAAGGTATCCTTGTTATGAGAGATAGCCAGAATTTACAAAGAAATCTTTAACACTTTTTAGTGGTTATCTAAAATCACTGTCAACAATAAACATAACCTTAGAAGTATCCCTTCCTTCAATATTTTTGTTTCCCATAGATAAGAAAGCATTTCATTTTTTGTTATGAGGCCTAACATATTAGCCCCGCAGAGTTCACAAAAAGCCCACTTCTCCAGAATTTAAATTGCTATTATGGGAGAGCAATGAGCTCTCCCATACCTAGAGTTCTGATTAATGGTTATGCAGCCTCACTCTAAGGCCTGTGTCTTTTGGAGAAGGTCACAATGATTTAAGGACTTTTTGAAACTACTATTTATGTCTATAATTCATATTCTTTTGTTTACCTGATGAAACTTTTTGGTGTTCCTTGTTCGTATATAATAAAATACGTGTATATATATATTTTTTCTTGAGATCTTAACCCTTAGGAGGGCCCTGGCATTTTCGATCTGGCAACCATATTTTTGGAAGTTGAGATGTTTCAGCATGAAGAACTAGAGCACTTAGAGGGAATATGTCCAAAGAATACATTTTGTGCCCATATCAAGTTTAGTGTATAAATTTTAGAAACATTTGACTTTAATAGTTAAGTAAAACCAAACCTTATTGGAGAATTTAAAAATATGCTACTTATAGGAACTAAATTTACCTTCAGAAGTATTAATTATCTTAGTAAAAATAATGGACGTAATTTCTCTGCAAAATCAGATGTCAATATAACCTATGGATAATATCTAATAAACTACCCCCCTTGGTAAATCCATTAATAAATTTAGTTTCAGCACTTCTACTTGTTTGCTCCATAATTTCATTTCTGTCAATGAGTTATGCAAGCTGTACTAACTTTCCTAAAATAAACTTGTACACAGGTACCACCATGGAAGAAGGGCCGTGGTAAACGTTGCAAGGTTTTAGTCACACTCCAAGGGGCTACACTTTAGGTGGAAGATTAATCAGAAATACATTGGTCCTCACGTGGCCTGAAGTCCAGCTTTAAGTCATCTCGTTCCATGACTGTTTTAAAAAGAATGCTAATTTAACTGCCTGACAAAGCAAAAGAATTTTAACATCCCGAGTCATAAATTAGCTCTACGAATTTTCATATACAGTGTCAGGCCCTCAAAAAATAACTGAGTGGCATCAGCAAAAATGGCAAAGTAGGTAGTTTCAAGGACCTGTTCCTCCACAGAAACATTGGAAAATCAAGCAAAAACATTCAGAAACAACTCTGACAGAACTCTGGAAAACAGTCAAAGGTTTATAGCCACTAAGCACATGCGGAATCAAGAAAAAGGAAATCTAAAAACAGAAGACAAGCTTCTCTGTGATTTACTCACCCTCTCCCCATTCTCTTCTTTAGTTCTACAGCAGTCTTGAAGACAGCAGCCCACATTTTCAGCATGGAACCTAGTCCCTGGTTCCTAGAAAAAAGAGAGGTCTTATTCTTGAAAGATTATATTTTAACCTGTCTGGGGCAACCGGAAGGACTTACACAAGACACTTGCCTTTGTTTCCTCTAACTCCTAACTCAAGGTGGAAAAGTGGAGGGCATTTCTCATCAGGCAAATGAACAACTGCTGACAGCTGGGGCAGAAAAATTACAGTCGAGGTAAACAAAGGAGTGCCTAAAGCCTGAGAGGAAAAGCAGTGGAGAGAATTTCTTAGGGAAATTAGGTCATTCAAAAGCACTGTGTATTCTGGGGAATTTAGAAAGCCATGAGAATGCCCAGGTCAAGTTGCATGTTCAGAGAAGACCTGAGAAGGCCCTAAGCTTTAACTGATCCCTACACTCAGTACAAGCAGGAAGAAAAGGCAGATTTTAAATGACCTGGCTAATTTTTTTATTTTTATTTTTTGGAGACAGGATCTTTCTATTCTTTGGAGACAGGATCTTTTGCCCAGGCTGGTTTCAAACTCCTAGCTTCAAGTGATCCTCCTGTCTCCGTCTCCCACAGTGGTGAGATTATAGGCATGAGCCACTCACTGCACCTGGCCCCAAGGTTTTTAAATCAACTGTCTCAAATACGCTTAAAAAATGAAAGGAAATCAAGAAAACAATTGAGAATTATCAATAAAGAAACTATAAAAAGGAACTATACAAATTAGGGGCCGAAAAGTACAATAACAAAGGGGAAAACTATCACTGAAGGGTTCTAACAGCAGATAAGAGCAGGCAGTAGAAAGAATCAGTGAAGCTGAAGGTAAGTGAACTGAAATTATTCAATCTGGGGAGCAGCAAGAAAAGAATGAAGGAAAATAAACAACTTAAGAGACCCAGGGAGTACCACCAAGCCTATCAACATTTGTAAAATGGGAATTTCAGAAGAGAGGAAGGGGCAGAAAGAATATTTAAAGAAATAATGGCTAAAAACACCTCAAATTTGTTAGAATACTTGAATCTACATACTCAAGAAGTTTATGGAACTCCAAATAAAATAAACTCAGAAGAGCTCCATGGCAAGACACATATAATCAAACTGTACAAAGCTGAAGACGAAAACATCAAGAGAGTAACCATCAGAAGTGCAAATCAAAACCATGATGACATCCTACTTTATATCCATAAAGATGGATATAAGAGGCCGGGTGTGGTGGCTCACGCCTGTAATCCTAGCACTCTGGGAGGCCAAGGCCGGCTGATTGCTCAAGGTCAGGAGTTCGAAACCAGCCTGAGTGAGACCTCGTCTATACTAAAAATAGAAATTCATTGACCAACTAAAAATATATATACAAAAACCTAGCTGGGCATGGTGGCGCATGCCTGTAGTCCCAGCTACTTGGGAGGCTGAGGCAGAAGGATTGCTTGAGCCCAGGAGTTTGAGGTTGCTGTGAGCTAGGCTGACGCCATGGCACTCACTCTAGCCTGGGCAACAGAGTAAGACTCTGTCTCAGAAAAAAAAAAAAAAAAAAAGAAGAAATATCAATATTGTTGGTAGAATTAATTAGCAGATACAAAAAAATGTCTTAAATGCCATAATTTAAAAATATATATATATACATTGCCCATAAAACAGGTGTTTTCTCTCCTTAAAAACAACAACAAAAACCCATGGTATACAAGGACTAGACCTTGATAAAAAAAACTGAGAGAAGAGACAGATAATAGAAAAACAAATAATAGAAAATACAGCTAATGGAATTGCCAAATAAGATTTTTAAAAACTGAATATTCAAAAATTGTAAAGACAAGATGGAATATTTAGACTGAAAACTGGAAACTATAAAAAGGAATCAGATGGAAGTTCTAGAATTGAAAATTATAATAAATTGTCAACATGGATGGGTTTGGTTGCTGAGTAGTCACAGTTTGAAAAGGGCAGTGGATGACAAGTTAGATAATAGTTATAGCTGACCCTCAAGAAACATGGGCTTGAACAGCACAGGTGCACTTTCACATGGAATTTCTGCCACCTCTGCCACCCCTGAGACAAGACCAATCTGTCCTCTTCCTCTGCCTCAGCTTTCTCAGCATGTAGATGTCAAAGATGAAGGCCTTTATGATGATCCACTTCCACTTAATGAATAGAAAATATATTTTCTCCTCATGATTTTCTTAATAACATTTTCTTTTCTCTAGCTTTGTTATGAGAATACAGTATACAATACATATACAAAATATGTGTTAATTGACTGTTTACATTATCAGTAAGGCTTCTGGTCGACAGCAGACTATTAGTTTTTTGGAAGTCAAGTTATATATGGATTTTTGACTGTGTAGGGGGGTTGGCACTCCTAACCTCTGTGTTGTTCAAAGGTCAACTGTATACTAATGCATGGGTGGGCAAAAGGATGAGAAACATAAACAGGTTATGTGAAGAGGTCTAACATACATGTAATTGGAGTCTCAAGAGGGGAAAAAGAATGAGATTAAATCCTTATGTATTAGCTTGTGCTGCCATAACAAAGTGCTATAGGATGGGTTGCTTAAACAACTGAAATTTATTTCCTCACAGTTGTGGGGTCTGGAAGTCAGATCAGGTGCCAGCATGATTGGGTTCTGGTGAGAGCTCACTTCCTGGCTTACAGATGGTACCTTCTCGCTGTGTTTTCACATGGCAGGGTGGGGAGGGGGCGCACACTTATACTGTCTGTCTTGTAAGGACACTAATCCTATCGTGTTAGACCTCCATCTTTATGACCTCATTAACTTTAATTACCTCCTTACAGTCCCTATCTCTAAATACAGTCACATTGGGGGTTAGGGCTTCAACATGTGAATTTTCGGAGAACACAATTCAGTCTGTAGCACCACATGAACCCCAAGCAGGACAAATACAAAGTATATCATGGACAAACTGCTAAAAACCAAAGATAAATATCTTAAAAGTAACCAGAAAGAAAAAGATAATCTTCATAGGGACAACAATTAAGCTGACTTTGCAGTAGAAAGATGGAAGCAATGCAATGGTAGCTTCAAATTACTGAATGAGGTTATGTCAGTGGCAATGGTGGAGTAAGGTCCTCTGAAAACCTGTTCCTCCACAAAGGCAGTGAGACCATTGAGATAACTTGTCAAAATCAAATTTTTCAGACTTCTGGAAATTAACAAAGGGCTTATAACAATCTAAGGAGCATTTATTTAAAAAACAAAAGGCTGTATCTTAGTAAGAATGATCAGCTTTGCAGTGTTTTAACTTGTCTTGTGGTGTTTTAACTCTTCACTCTCCTCAACTCCTCATTGGCCTTGAAAACCAACAGTTCCACAGTCAAACTTGTAGCCTAGCAGCCACTTGTTAAAACACAATGGGTTTGGAGAGCCCCCCAAAACAGC